TTAACTGGACTAGATCAGAATGACATGGTAAAATGCCAAGGAAGGAAAATGATCATTTGCTGTCTTCCAGCGAGTACGTACAGCCATCCATCAATTGCTGGATAAAATTACTTTATTGATGTCCTATGATAGCCTGGTAACTCCATGAAAAGTGTGAAAACTCAGTGAAAAGTAGTTTTATCTACATGGCAAACAGCCAGCCTATTTTTTTTTTTTCCCCTAGCTAAAAGGTAATCTCTTCTTACGTGATTAGAACTAGTAGTCGGTCAACTTTAATAAAAGATACGTACACATGCACACACAGATTTAATTTTTTTATATAGAGCCCTAGCATTTGCTTTGAAAAAGGTTACCTGTTTGGGGTTGTGAGTGATCTATTTTTCAAAAACCTTAAGGCATCTTCTACAGTTTCCACATTTAGTTTCTTACATTGGTGCATGAATTTAAATGCATTTCCTAAGCAATTTTAGTATACATTTCTGGATGCTTATTTATATCTTGATATATTTCACTCATATCTAATTCAACAAGGTTGTGTTAGTGACTTGTCTTTATCAAGTTTTTCTAAAGCACTCAGCTGACTTTTCATGGAAACAGCAGCTTCTTTTTCAGTTATTTTACGCATTTATGTAAAATCTCATTTAACTGCATAATTTCAGTAGCTAATGTTTTTAGCATAAACTAGTTTGGGAACAAATCCAGCTAACTTAGTAAGCATAGATCTTAACTGGTGGAAATAGGTATGAAAGAACATGGGCATGTAACCCAATAACCACAGATGTTTAGTATGTTATTTGCATTAATCACGGGGTTTTTTTATTATTATTTGATTGTTTTAACTGATTTTTTGAATATGAAAGTTAGACTTTTGCAGATCAGTCTTAAGAGGTCAAATGATCACCTCATGCTTTTTGCCAGGTAAGGTTCCAAGTAATCCTTTGCCCCTTATCTTATTTTCTAGCATATGATCATAAGACTCAGAAGTTATAAGGCAAATATATATACTTTGATTATTACTCATAAGAGAGTTTAGAAATGAAGGAAGGAATTGTAATACTTTGAGACTATTAATTGGTGTGTTTTGGGGGGAAGATTAACCATGTCTTTGGGGAGCTAAAAGTGTTTTCTCAATAACAAAAATATGCTTTACATTTTAAAAGGGTTATCTAAGTTAATGCAAAGTAGGCAAACCCATGTGTTTCATAATTTAAATTTAAGAAAGTACCACCAAATCATAATGAATTTGAATTTATTCTACCTGAGGTTTCTTCTTAAAATTTGAAGTCATGTTTAAGCATTATATATTTACTTTCCACACATATATGTGCATATATCCACATGCATTCATGCAGAGAATTCCATGCCCAAATGTACTGAGAATCTATGTCAGTATTCTGACAAGTTTTAAACACAAGTGAATCTTCCATTCAATTCCAAATGTAACAGGAAGGCAAATTGAAGGTACACACTTCAAAATCAAGATGGGTATGTATGGAGATTCAATGAGAATGACCCATTGGGAGGAACTGGGTAGTTTTTATTAGTATTTTTAAAGGTAGCTCTGATTCTATCCATACATAGTTTGTAGGTCCATACCTGCAGGCTGCATTATTGAAAGGTGAAGGAATCATTTTCATAGGGAGGAGAGTATACCCCTGCTGTGTCTGCCGCTGCCATCGGCAGAATGGTGCTCTGTTGATAATGTGAATCTCATCACCACTTGTGAGTGTGTATTATGAGTGATATCGCTGGAAATCCAACCATCAGCTCAAGAATTTGTACTCATAAAAATTGATTGAGAGTAAGGTTTGGCCAGCTGCAAAGTCATTGTTCAAAGTGAACACTTGAGGAGCCACTGAGGTGAAAAGACTTTTCAAAGACTCTCATGTAAACATTTAAATTGGAGTCAAAAGGTGGGAAAATAAATGATTTGTTAATATTGAGTGTTTATTTGGCTTCTAAGTAAGATCATTTTGGTATCTGTTTATATTCTGATGCCAATGTAGTTATAGTAATAAATAGATTTTAATGCTAAGAGGCTTCTTTTTTTAATGAAGGTAAATTTTGGTTCAAGTCAAGTTGAAAGAACGGTGATTTTGAAGAATATGCTTGAAATACTACCAGAATTAAACTTGTATATGTTTGTTACTTACTTTTCTTATGCTTGTTCAGTGTTTTTGTATTAGCTTTGGATGGTATAATTGGTGTAAAGTACTTAAGATACTTTAATATATTGTAGTTCATTATAATAAAATAATTTGATACCTTTAACACTCTGAATTTGAGATTTGAGAAAACCAAGTATTACTTCATTTTATATTCTAATGCCTATTCAAAAATGTATGTCCCAGGTATTCTATATTCTGTAGTAAAAAAAAAATTCTGAAGCACTCCCCAATTAACATAATTATTGCTATATTAAATCTGATACTCATTAAGCAATTACTTTATGGCAAGCATTTATGTAAAACATTTGTAATACTTTATCTTATCAGAATAAGCCTATGAGGGTAGGTATTATTATTATACCCATTGTACAGATAAGAAAATGATACAAAGAGGGGTTTTGGAACTTACTTAGGATTGGGCAGTTTAGTAAGTGGTAGAGTCAAGCAAATCCAGTTCTGTCAAACTTCTATTTTCTCTGCCATACTGCTGTGATTACATTGATGCTCATAACTACAGTTGATCTGAAGACAAACAGATACATGATGAATCACTATGGATCATTCATTTCATGAAGTGCAAAACAGTGTTACTCTATTAGAAAAATGGCCAGGGAGTGATGACATAATGAGTCCTGTGCTCATGAAGGCCACTGACTGTGTGACATCATTGGAAACTGAGTAGACGTCTGTATTGTTTTGGCCTTGTATCAAAGTGTTCACTGCTTGTTGTTGATGTGTCAGAATCATGACTTGAAGTTGCTGCAGACAACAGCAGGCTATCAAGACATAATGTTAATTACATATCAGCTGAGTTGGCATGGGATGTAAACAGTCAGCCATGCCACAGAGTGATCTATACCTGCTGCAGATGTATGAGAGGCACTCTGTTAGTGAGATGTCATCAAGATCTGCTTTCAACATAAAGAAGTGGCTGCCCATCCTATTGATTTCTGAAATATTCAGCACACATGGGGACCCACTACAGCTGACTCCTCTCACTCACTTGAGAATGAAACTACCACCTGAAGAACGTGAAATTCAGTTATATGCTCCAGGTTTAGTCTGGGACACTAGCTGATGTTTACTTATGACAGTAAGATAAAGTGAAATGAACAGACACATTGTTGCCAAATCAAGAAAATCATGGGATAATGACTTTTTAGCTTTATGCTTTAAATTGGATTAAAATTTACAAACCCAGGACATGCTCAGCGTAGGATAAAAATCAAACCATGCAATTTTTATGGTAGAAAATCAAAGGCCTCTTCGACACTCCTGCTGGCACTACCACCTTATTCTACTATCCTTTGCAAAAGTATTCAAGTAGCCATTGCTAGTAGTGTGGCCTTCCAAACTTATTTGGAAGGAGTTAGGCACCTTTAATTCATCACTGTGTGAAACACACATCCACTCATTCCTATTGGAATCATTTCATGTATTTTTATTCTATGAGTTGCTTTGTTTCCTCTTTAAAAATATATCCATGAGAAGTTGCCATATCAACATATAAGAATCTATTTAATGCCAGGTGCCGTGAATCCCAGCATGTTAGGAGGCTGAAGCAGGAGAATCACTGGATGCCAGGAGTTCAAGGCTGCAGTAGGCCATGATTGCACTGCTGCACTCTAGCCTGGGCAACAGAGCAAAACTCTGTCAAAAAAAAAAAAAAAAAAAAAAAAAAAAAAACCCACAAACAAACAACAACAACAAAAAACCTTTTAAGTGAATAAATAAATAACTGGATTCTATACTATAAATTTACATACTTTTAACAGTCCTCCTTGTTTGAACATTTAAGTTTTTTAAATCAAACAATGCTACTTTGAATGTTGTTTTTGTTGTGGAGGAGAAAAAAGTAATGCCACTATCAATATATGTGTAATTCTTGTATATTAATCTTCATATATATGTGGGAGTATTCTTATAGAAATGAAATAAATTGCTGGCTAAAAATCCACAAAAGTTTACATTTTGTGAGCTTAATTTTTTTTGAAAATTGTTCTACAAGTTTCCATTTCAAATTGCTCTGAGTGTGTACGTGTGTATTTCTGTGTATTTGTATGCATTCATATGCATATATATGTCTTTATATCTACAGGTATGTGTATAAAATCTCCTACACAAGTAGTATGTCTGAATCTGCGCATAGTGGAGAATCTGTAAATATTTGTTAAGTAAATGAATATTCCTCCTTTAATGTAGGTTCCTTCCCAAACCTCTGTAAGGAATATGAAATTGACTTCTATTTGAACATACTTAAATCAAAACCTAGGTGTCATGTTTGATCCCTCTTTTTTCCTTAGCCTCATGGCAGAAAAGATTGCTATTCCATAGCAAAAACAACATTCCATTTACATCCCATCATCTCCATCTTCTCCACTATCATAGTAGTTGAAACCACCATCATCTTCCCATGGATTCCTACAATGGCATCCTAGCTGTTCTCTCTGCTTCCACTTCCATCCTTCTTAACAATCTGTTCTTCACATTGTGGGATGATCTATTTGAAGCATAACTCACATTATGATAATTTGCTGCTTAAATCCTTCCAGGGACTCCCTTTGCACTTAGAATAGCTCATAACCATGTCTTAGAGGAGGTCCTAAATATTCTGGCCTCAAGCTTCCTCTTTGAATAGTTATTTCGTGTCACTGAGCTACATCTTGACTTCTAAAACTCTTTCCTCAGATTAATTACAGTGCCAAGAGTAGGAGTTTAGCACCTTCAAGTCACCAGATAGCCCCACCAAAGGCACCTCAAATAAATATATAAACTGGGGTTATTTTTAAGTGTCATTGTTGTATAAATACACCTTTGGATTAAGTCCCTTACTTTTCTTCCACCTAGATTGTTAGGCCACCCTTAACCCCCTCTGTAGAAATTCTGAACATCCTACAGCTTTTATTTTCCTCATGTCTGGCTCATTCCTTCATGTCCATTTAGATATCAGTTCAAATGTTGCCTTTTCAAATGTGCCTTTTCCACCCAGGCAACCTGAAATACCCCTCAGCTCATTCCCTGTCGCATTATTCTGTTTGATATTGTTAGGGGCATTTATCTCCAATTAATTTTTTTTTTTTACATTCATATGTTTATCGTTATTTTTGTTATTATCTCTTTACCCCTTCTAGAATGTATGTTCCATGAAAAGAAGGACTTTATCTTTCTTTTAGTCTACTTTATCTGTGGAACGTTAAACACTGCCTGGTACATGAGTAGAAACTAAGTATTTGTTAAGTAAATAAATATATGCAAATCTTTCTCAACATTGTTCCGAAAAGAATGACTTTCTTTTCTCTAATTTGTACACCAAATGCTAAATCTTTTTACACCATTTGGACAAGACAGTTAACAATAAATATTCCTGTCCAGTCTCTCTGGATCTTGAAGATTTATTCATTTTTCATGATTAAATTCAGCTCTGGTTTAGTTTGGTTTTTTAAATAATTCCAGCAGCACCTTTGGCCTCTGCCAAGAACATTTCCAGCTAAGGATTTTTAAAGCCTTAATCTTCACTGAAATTAGATGGTGGCAGTTGCTAAGCTGCCAGCTGTTAACATGATCCCTGCAGTAAGAATACAACATACAAACCGAAATGCTGTGGTCTCTAGAATCCCATAGTTAGCACTTACATGTGTGGACACAGACAGGTGTTGCACAGGTTGGCAGTTGAGAACAAAATGGGAGGTTTCGTATACCAGAGACAGATACCTTGTGGTACTACAGCAACTTAGGTGTCCTATCAAAAGCAGTGATGCTAAAACCTGATTTCATGCTGTCCCCAGATTAAAGTCTGTTCATATCTCCCAATTCTCAACAAATCCATTCTTTACAGAGTTATTAAGAGTGGATTGGGTAAAAGATATTGAATGTTTGTCATTGCTGTGCTTCCACTGAAGGGATTTTCAATTTCAATATAGTAAATTGTATAAGCTTTGTTCAGAAATACACAAGTAAGCTCATAAATGAAAACAAATACCAGATCAGAATAGGTCAAACCACCTGTTTCTATCTAATTCCCTGGCATGTGGTGATGAGGCAGAGTAGAGGCTGCAAGACTGCCTCTAACTGGGAGCACAGGGAACAGGGTGACCCCTGCTAGTCTTTCAGCAGCATATTTTAACTATTAGCACGAACTGATACAGGTCTGAGTACAACTTCTCCGGATTACCTGTGAACTGGTAACTGGCTAGTAAACCAGCAGCTACAGGTGTTAATACTATTCAGGGACACCTGAATTTACCCTGTGGGTTTGTTCTATTTCTGGCCTTGGGAATGTGATTTATCATGACCTTGCAAAGGGGATGGATAAAAGTAAGATCTCTTGGGGTACTAAAGGAACTAAAAGAAGGATGAAATATGGCAACATTTTATGGAAATAGAACCAGGAATCAGCGAGCCCAAAAGATAGCATTAATAGGTTGTAGCTTCTGGAGTTGATGTGTTCGAAAAGCCAGATTGCACCTTTTTCAGTTGTCTCATGGGTCACATTTCCTAATTGTCAGTGACAGCTTTGTTAGTTGTTGGTATTTTATTACTCTTCCATCTGTACTCTTTGTTATCTCTCTAGGCCCAATTATCTGTGACAGAGTCTAGGTCTGTTGGGTGATGTTTTAGATATTAAACAAAATATTAAAGAAGTTAAAAGCTAAAGGCAAATGTTTCAATACTTTGCCATTTAAGTGACCATGCCTCTAGAAATTGAGTGATTCCTCTAAACCTGAAGTTTCTGACTTGTTGATTTTTGTTGTTATATCTTAAAGACTTGTTAAATTGGTACTTACAACTTTATATCTTCAGCATGTTAGAAAATAATTGTCTCATTTAAAGCTAGCTAGAGATACAATACTTAGAGCATAAAACGGCAACTTCAAGTTGTACTTCAGGTTATGTGAAGAAAAATGCACATTAATGTGAGCATTTCACCTCACATGGTTTTTGACAACTAATTTATAAGGCTAGATCATAAATAGCAAGTAAATTTTTAATGTTTTTGGTGGGTTACACACATCAAGTTTGTACTCTTTAACACATGACAATATGAACATGTTGATTATGTAAAGAGCTTTTGAAAGTAATCAACATTTGGTTTTTAAGAAAGCAATAATTTTTAAAAGACATTATAATGTATATTTAAGATAATGTCCATTAGAAATAGACAAATGTAGCATCTAAAACTACATTTAGATGTATTATCACTTTTCCTCACTTTTGCAGTTTCTTAGAAATTTACATATTCTTCCATGAAGCATCTTCATCAACATAGCCACTATGCTCTTTGTTTGCTGATAAAAATGTGAAAACAGACTGGGCATGGTGACAACACCTATAATCCCAGCTACTCCAGAAACTGAGATTGCTTGTGGCCAGGAGTTTGAGACCAACCTGGACAATGTAGTGAGACACTGTTTCTCTATATTTTTAAAATTAACTGGGCATGGTGGCATGCACCTGTAGTCCCAGTTACTTGGGAGGCTGAGGTGGGAGGATCACTTGAGACCAGGAATTTGAGGTTACAGTGAGCTATCAGTGCACCACTGCACTCCAGCCTAGGTGACAGAGTGAGATCCTGTCTCTCAAAAAGAAAAATAAAAGAAACATCCCCTGAGAGTGGGAAGAAAGGTAAGGGTGGGGAGAGCCAAGCGAGGCCAGGAGACAGAAGTCACAAACATGGAGCATCAGCAGCCCTCAGCTTATTCACAGTGTGGAAGCATGTGGTTTGAAGAGAGTTCAATCCCCAAGTCAGTCAGGTGCTCACTGTGTTATAGTAACACCTGCATCCGGTACCCAAAATGAAACAATTCTTCTAAGAGTCAAAAAGAATAAAGTGAGAGGAGGACGGTGACTCCCTGACAACCGAATTAGATTCACTGGGAGACCACTGTGTAACAGGCATGCATTGTGCTAGGCGCTCCCACGTCAGTTCTCTCCAATTCTCTCAAAACCCTGTGAGGTCTATTATTGTTTTCTTATATTACAGAAAAATGAGATATATAAAACTTAAAATAATTTTTCTAAAGCCTTCTCAAAAATAAGTATGAAAGAATAAGGATAAGTAAGTAATTGAGGGGATAAATGAAAGTGGAATTTGCATTTGACATGGCAGATTCATCTGTTAAACCTGGTTTATCTTCCCTTCACTTCCAGTTGAAATGCCTTAATATGATTGTCTTCAGAGTGGCCTTTCTGACCACACTATTGAAAATAGAATGCTTTTAATGTCTCTTTCCTCTGCTTTGTTTTCCTGCAAAACAATTCACCACCCAAAATTATTTTCAGTAGCTCCTTAATTGTAATTCACTTATCTTCTCCGTTCTCACTCTGTGAGATGGCTTTTTCCCCCCAATTCTGAGGCACTGTTGTTTACCCAAAGCCTGAAAGAATTCACTGTAGATGCATGATAAATATTTGGTGGATGAATGTGCACGGATGAATAAGTGCACGGAAGAATGAATGAGAGGGAGGAAAAAAGTACCCATAAGAACACAAGGGGAGATACAGAGGTTATAAATACACAAGAAACTAAATTCAGTAACTTAACTATTTTGTTTAGTATGACTAATCCACAGATCTCAAAAGACATCAAGGAAGGAGTATGTCTCTGTAAAAGACAACATAGGAAAGAACAATCATATTAGTCTTTAACCATTTTGCCAATATGTCCCTTAAAATAATTTTATACAACTCTAGATCCTCCTGAGTCTTTCATCATGAGTTTGAATAGTTGCAGTGGATACCAGTTTCTAAGATAAAACCACTAAATCATTCAGCAACATGTTCAATAGAATCTAAATACTTTTGTGATTTTATATCTACTTGCAATCATTGAAAATTTTATTGGCCGTGCACAGTGGCTCATGCCTGTAATCCCAGCATTTGGGGAGGCCGAGGTGGGCAGATCACGAGGTCAGGAGTTCAAGACCTGCCTGGCCAGCCTGGTGAAACCCCGTCTCTACCGAAAATACAAAAATTAGCCAGCCAGGCATGGTGGCACATGCCTGTAATCCCAGCTACTCGTGAGACTGAGGCAGGAGAATCGCTTGAACCCAGGAGGTGGAAGTTGCAGTGAGCCGAGATCATGCCACTGCACTCCAGCCTGGGCGACAGAGTGAGACCCCGTCTCAAAAAAAAAAAAAAAAAAAGGAAAGAAATTTAGTTTTTTTCTCCTCGAAGTCTTATTTCTATTGTGCTTTCCCAGCAGAATATTATTCTTATGAAATAAGTGTTATGGCTCAAAATCTTGATCACTCTATCATGCTTCTCTACAATTAAAAAAATCTATAAAATTGGACTTAAAAAAAGTTTCTGTAACCAAAAAGCCCCCCCAAAAAAGAAAAAATATGCAATTCACATTGCTGAACATATTTAAAGGAGAATTCTTGACATTTGAGAGATAAATGAGTATGACTTCAGAAATGTGAAACTTAAGATGTAGAAGAATTAGAATAGTAATGAAAAAAACATATATAGTTTATTTTACTCTTGTAAAATATTTTGGCAGCTCAATTAAACATGAAAAATGATTCCTGAAATAGGTTATAGAAATATAATTAAGTAGTTATTACAAAATGTGAATCCTAAACTCTAGAGTTTGTCAAAATAATGAATGGAACAATAAAACAGGTTCTATTCCTCATGTTATATAGAGCCAGTGAAAAAATTATTTTTTCAATAAATAGAGAAAATATGGGTTATGTCTTTAAAACTTTTAAAGAAACTATTATAATATGAAAATTAAATGCTAAGAAAACTTTAATTACCAAATAATAGAAGATAAAGAGGACAAAAAAGCAAGACAAAATATATTAGTTCTTATTATAAATAAGTTAAATGGACCTGTTAACAGTCAGATTCTCAGAATGAAATAATA